TACTTCCGCGGGCCAGGGGCCCCCTGCCCCTCTGGGGGCCCCTGGCTGGTTGTGGGGCCCCACGGTAGCTTCTGCCTTCGCGGGCCGCAGCAGCAGCAGCAGCAGCAGCAGCAGGAAGGTGGCTCCAAACAGATGCATTATGTGTATACTGCGCGCGGTGCGCGGCAGCCACAGGCACTGCAGCAGCAGCCACAGCAGCAGCAGCAGCAGCAGGTGTGCTTGATTTGTGCTGCTGCTGCAGGCGAGACGGAGGAAGAAGAGGGGCGGCTGCAGCGCCGAGTGCATGAGCTTGAAGCGGCAGTTGCTGCTGCCAAGGCCAGCGCAACTGAGGCCTACACGGTGAGCAGCAGCAGCAGCAGCAGCAGCAGCAGAGCAGCAGCGGCAGCAGTCACAGCTTCAGCAGCAGCTCCCGCTGCAGCAGCAACGCCTGCATCTCGTTGCTGCGCACAGTCGGGGAGTTGCAGCATGCGGCTTTGCGACTTTGCTGCTGCGGACTCCAGTCAGCAGCAGCTGGCGCTGCTGCTCCCACCCCACGTGCTGCTGACTCCGCTGCTGCTGCTGCTGCTGCTGCTGTGCTGCAGACGGCGCAGAAAAGAGTAGTGCAGCTAAGCTCTGACTTAGAAGCAGCAGCATCGGGCAAAGAGGAGCTGCAGCAGCGCGTGGAAAGCCTGGAGAAGGCTCTGCAGCAGCAGCGGGAGCAGCAGCAGCAGCAGCAGCAGCAGCACCAGGCTGCGACTCAAGCGCTGCAAGATGAACTCACGCAGGTGAAGCAGCAGCTGCAGCGGGAGAGGCAGCAGCACCAGCAGCAGGTGGCGGGGCGGCTGGAGCAGCAGCAGCAGATGCTGGAGCAGCTAAAGCTGCAGCAGCAGGCGAGCGAAGAAGCACACCAGCAAGCTCTCAAGCTAGTACGCAAACACCCAAGTGTCACAGAGAGCAGCAGCAGCAGCAGCAGCAGCAGCAGCAGCAAGGGCAGCACGGACGTTAGCAGCAGCAGCAGCAGCGAGGGCAGCAGCGCGAGCAGCAAAAGAGCTCAAATGAGAGCAGCACAGAACTAAACAGCTGCAGCAAAACTCGC